GGTTGTTGGCATCAGCCAGTCCATTAAGGATGGCCTCTTTAATAAACTTTTCTAAGATCTTCCCCAGGATAGAAGTCAGGCTGATGGGCTTATAGTTGGCCGGATCTACTTTCCTCCCTTTCTTGAAGATAGGCACCGCATTGGCCTTCTTCCAGTCTTCAGGCACTGCACCAGAGCGCCAAGAGCTCTCAAAGACCCATGCCAGGGGCTGGGCTATAACGCTACCAGCTCCTTGAGCACCCTGGGGTGCAGACTGTCAGGACCAGCTGACTTGAAGGTATCCAGCTTCTCAAGGTGTTCCTTCACGAGGTCAGCATTTATGGAGGGCAGGGGGTCTCCCTTACCTGGACCTCCCTGTCCCGTAGTTGGCATGGGCGTCCCATGGGACTGATGAAAGACCGACGCAAAGTACCCATTTAATAGGTCGGCTTTTTCCTGGGACTCAGTTGTCAGTTGCCCCATCTGGTTCAGCAGGGGTCCAATATTGCCCTTGCTTTTCCTCCGGCTCCCCACATATCTGAAAAAGGACTTTTTATTGTCCTTGATGCTCGAAGCTAGTTGGAGTTCAGTTGCAGCCTTGGCTTTCCTGGTTTGCTCCCTTCAGGACTGGACCAGTGCAGAATAATCCTCCTTGGAGGTGAATCCCATCCTCCATCCTTTGTAGGCCTTTCTTTTTAGCCTCAGGAGGTCTGCTAGGTCCCTGGAGAGTCATGGGGGCTGCTGTGTCCTCTTGCTGCCTTTCCTCCGAGATGGAATAAACTTATCTTGTGCATTGAGTTCGTTGCCTTACCGATTGCTTTGGGTGAAAAGTGATTTCTCAGCAAGTAAAATTGCAGGATAACGCACTCTACGGAAGGGAGACCTGACACTTCTTTCACAACCCGAAAGAAAGCCACCTGGAGCTGGCAGAGATTCCCCCATTGCAGCTCCGCAAGGGCAGCAGAGCTGGTAAGGTAAAAGACTTGGTCTCGTCCTTGGGACAAGCAGCAGGCCAGGAGGGAGAAACTCAGGGCTGTGAGGGGTACTCCGAAAACAAGGGGGTTGGGAGAATAGCTCTTTAAGTTTATGAAGGAAGTCTCGCAGCAGGTATTGATCATGGTAGATGGGTATGAAGCCTCTGCACCAGAACTTCCTAAACCTCCGAATGATGGAAGCCTCAACGGGAGAGAAGCAGGAGTGGAAAACTCTGCTTGTGTCCTGTTAACCCTCCCTCTCAGCATCACCCCTCTGCCTCCCTGTAAGACAGGGCACGGGACTAAAGGGACCCATGCTGTGACCCTGTAAACAGTAGGTCTACATGCATACTACTATTTGGCTCCAGGCAGCTTTGCAGCACTTCTGCATGACTCTCTTCTGCCAGGGGGCTGGCATTGCACCATGGGCACATGACAGAGGGCAGAAGGTATGGGTATGCCACATACCCCATCTATCATCTGCTATCTGTCAGCGAGCTGGTGTGGTTCTGCCAGCAGCAGCTATAAGTGTGGGCATGCTCATGAGTTTGGTCTTACGTAGAGGCAGACAGCTTTATGAGCCTTTTGGACCAGTATCAAGCATAGTGGGTGCACGAGAAATACCATGACCACAATGGTGGCAGGGGAAGTACCCTGACAGGTAATGCAATTAAAATGGCACTGTTTAGTGGAGGGTTGCACGCTTGTCTGCTTGCGGACAGGACTCCCTACAGGAGCCTCACAGTTAGCTTCCCACTGGCCAGCTTCCAGCGGGAGGATCTCAGCTACATGCCGACTTTATGGAAATCGGAGATTCCTCCCTAGCTTGCTCCTGCAACCACTGGTGGAGGTCAAGTGAAACTCGGGGGCATCTGAACCCCAAGTCTCCGGGCTTGGGTCTGCATGTAGGATGCCTGCCACAGGATTTGGAAGTATCTAAAGCCCCAGGCTGGGGTGAAGGATGCTTGCTGGTAGTTGGGCCACATGTAGTTCTTGGATGATTCAAACAGATTTGGACCTGATTTAGCTAATTTGACCTAGGACAGGAAAATGTTTCCATTAATAAATAAATAAATAAATAAATAAAATAAGAGAGAGAAACAGGCAGTTTCTCCCACAATCTGTAACACAGACATCACATCCCCTACCATCTGCTGGTAGGAAATATCCAATGTATCCAAGGCAGCACATGTTTCATATGGTGCTTTAGACCTTGCAACCTGCCAAAATGAGAGACCATCATTTCAGGGAAGAACAAGGCTTCAATGCACCATTTATTAGTGGTAGGGCCCAGCAGCTCCAAACATTTAAGCAGTATGCAAGTCCACGATGAAAGATCAGTACTATCCCACAGACTTGCATCCATCTGGAAGCAGAACAAGGAAAGCTGAGCTGAACCCTGGACCTTAAGAAACACCTCTAGCATGGTAACCAAAGGGCTATTTTATGAACAGTGGAAGAAAACTGAGGGACCTGGCTGCAAGTCCCAATATGCATCAAGGGTAGGAATGAGAAGGCATTTATCATCTGTATGGGTCATTAGCATTTGCATGGGTCATTAGCTGATCATTAGCAGCTAGCTAGTTACCAGCCAAAAGCAGTTCCCCACTCCCTCCAATAAAGCAATCTAGCTGTAAAACATCTGAAATGAAGACAAAGGAGGTCAGCTGTGGGAGAAGAGTATAGGAAGTCTATCTCCGGTGACAGTGTGCAATATTAAAGTTATGAGCAATACTTGATACTAACATAATCCTAAAAAAACCCAGAGGAAAGAGTCAAAGTACTAAGGGGAGGAAAGAGATACAAGCCCATTTCATAAGCAGGGCAGGCAGGGTTAGACCTGGGCATCAGAAGGTGCAAGAAAAAGCCGAGCCCATGGCGAAGACACCCCTTCTTCTCCCCGTAAGGACGGATCAATACGAAACTCCCAAGGGGAGCAGAGCTGGTACAGACCTCAACCCTGCCCATCCTCTACTCCCAAGGGCTGCCTCACACCGTGTCTCACCTCTGCTATTTTGTTTGTGTCATCTCTGCCGGGCCACTCGGGCTCGTACACTTCCTGCAGACACTCTGTCAGCTTCTTGGAGGCCTCGTGCATTGCTAGGAAAGAGGAGAGGGGCATTAGACACAAAAGGGGACAGAGTGGGAGGCCCTCCCTCCTCAGCAACCCGTACTCGACAGCATGGGATAAGTAATGCTACCCTGCTCCCTGCCTCAGGCAAAATACTGGCAAAAGCGACCCTTGCTAGTACAGCCTGGATTACAGATATCCCAGGTAAGAAACAAGAGGGAGAGGATGCCCATGCTGCAGTCATCCGCCCCCACAAGTCCACCGCTCATCCTCACCCAGCAGCATGCAAGACAGGCCTTCTGCCAGGCAGACACCCCGCCAACTGGCTGTTTTCTCACCAAGCCCGTCTCCTTACAGCCACCCCTTGCCATTCGAGGGAGCAAAACAGGAGAAACCAAGCTTCCTGCACCAGAAAACCCATTTAGGAAAGCGGGGAGCACAAGGCAGGCAGAGGCGGAGCTGGGAGAGCTCTACTTCAGGCACCAAATGGGGAAAGAGAAACATTTCCATTTGCACAGACGTTACCTTTGATGGAAGTCAGGTAAGTTCGAAGGTCCTTCTGCAGCCTGCTGCCTTCTGACTGTGACGGCAAAGACAAGAGAGCTGGTTACTGCGTGGCAAAGGAAGGATTCGTGCAGGACTCGCCTGCGCTGAGGGGCTGAGGAGGGGAAGGGAACACCACCACCCCCCAAACTGCCCCATACGACACGACGGCAGAGGAACCAGTTTAGGACTAAGAAATGGTCCATTCAAGCTACGGCAAGACACGCGAGTGCAATGGGCCCCAATCCCCAAAGAGGGAGAAATGCTGTCAGGTTATTAAAAGAAGTCCAAAATGTAGGTTGCAGGGGATCTAGCATATAGATCTGATATACTGATGTCAGAGGCTTCTGATAAGCTGTTACGATACTGCTGTTACGTCCGCGCGGCTCGGGAGCGATGCACGTGCAGCAGAGCCACGGCAACTTTCCCTCTGCCTCATCCAGGCTCAAAGAGAAGTCAAGCTCACTTGTGTCACTACGGGATCACGCCAACCAACAGCTGCATCGTAACAGCTGGCGCACGCTCCCGAGCAAGCGGCAGCTGCTTCTCCCCTTCGAAGCAGTTAAAGGGCACAGCCGTCCATTCCCAAAGCACATCCATTGTTTCAGGGTTTGTTGGGAACAGCTCAAGTTTTGACATGCTGATGATGGATACCCTAAACACAGCAGTGTTGAGGACGCTGAGCAGTCCCAATTTCACTTTCCCAAAGCAGCGAAGCGACAGGGAAGCAAAACAATAGGAAAAGTTGATCGCTTTTCTTTGAAGTTGTATTCCCTTGTTAAACCTGTGTTTTAATGTGTTCAGAAGCTAAGAAACAACCAGCTTTCTGGCTTGATTTTGGGGTATCACAGCCTGGATGCAGTATGGGAACTGAGATAAGACCAAGGTCCCAGAACCTTTTAGGCTGAAATTTAGACCAGATTTAAACATGTGAACACAGACATGAACATGGGCATGCAGGCACACACACACGCACACATACACACACACACACACACACAGCTTGACTACTTAGGAAAAGATCAATAATCATGCAGAGCAACATGATTTTTTCCTGACACAGTTACATGCTCACTTATTTTCTTCCTACCAACGTGTCATCTGCATTTATACTGTGGAGGCCTAAAAATACAATCAAATCAGACCGGTGGCACTTTATACCATCTGGTGCAAATGTCAGCACGAACACTAGGCAGCAGAGAGGCAGGTCCAGCATGGCAGAGGCAGTGCGCCGATGTGAGATGGGGAGCTGAGGATGTTTTCTTTGCGGGGATGTGAGCATTTGTCAAGACAACACCAGAAATCAGTACAGAAGGAAGGACGAGGCCGTGGAGAGAGACAGAGGCCTTTTTTGCAAGAGGAAAAGAGAGAGAAGGCCCTTGGGATCCCTGTATTAAATGCCTGCTTTTGATCTTCCCTACCCCGGGGTGCAGCTGTGACACTTCAAAGGGCAGCGCTGGAGGGAGGCTGCTATTTCTTGCACCGTCATCATGCACTTTGTTGCATTTAATTTCCTTTCTTCCCACATGGAGGCCCCAGGTTAACATAGCCTGACTCCCACTCTGTGCTCAAGGAGCTCATAGGGCACCTCTGACAGCTGCTTCTAACTTCAGAGCAACTCTTTTCCATCCATCTCCTTCACTGTTCAGGTGCTTACTTCTTGGTCTGGACGCACCCCCCTGTAAAGACAGCTCCGGCCCTTCTCTTGCAGCAAGCTGAGCTTGCATCTGGTATAGATGTCTCGCTTCCAGATGTTGATGTGGCCAAACTGAGCACGTCTGTGCTAAGGACTTCTTCAGCTGCGGACGCTGCATCTGTGCTCACCAGGCCTCCCAAAGGGAAAGGCTGGGGCAAGTCTGCACGTCATCCTCCTTCTCCCAACTCGCTGCGCAAGAGGTGGGGAAGGACTGACCGTCTGACTGAGCCAGGAGCAGGACAGCAAGGAAGCGAAACCAGCAGAGAGGGACGAGTGGCCACCACTACTGCCAAAGTGGGAGAACTTAAAAACATACGCACCTTGGCTTAAGGTCTTTGCTTTGATCCTTTTGCTGGACTGGAGCTGGAGGAGGTCCGTAAACAAGGAAAGAGGCCATCAAATCTGTCACCAGAGGGAGGCAGACAAACCTAGGGTGTTTTAGATGGGCACCTTTTTGCCTTACATGGGAGTACGTGACCTCCTGACATCCCTTCCAGCCCTGTGACCCCGTGATAAGGGATTTCACAGAGGCGCCCCGCTCCCTTACAAAACAGGCTCTTCAGTAATAAAGTTAGACTGCCACATTCGTCTCGGCACTGCCAAATTCAAGAGAGACTTGTGCCATGAGAGACTGCACTGAAAAAGAAAAAAAAAATCTGTCCCAAGCATCTGTTCAGTGGATCCCAGACTTTGACCGTGGGCGTGGGATCCCCAGCAACTGCCTTTTGAAAAGTCATCTCAAATTTGGGCACCTCCAATTTTGGTGGTCCAATTTCAGGCCCCGAGAACCAGCAGAACGTCCTTGGGGATAATTCTGCCCCAGTCGCCGTGCTCAATCGTCATAACGTCTCAAGCTGCAGAGCTATAAAACGGGAGTTCCCAAAATGAGAGGCTGCACTTGAAAATACAGCCATGTCTGAGCGAGGCCTACCACGACCACAAGTGATAGGACACAAATCCTATCAGGTGCAGGTTTCACCACCCAGTCCCAAAGTTGAGCATGAATATGGGGAAGCTCTGAGAAGTTGCTCACAATAAATTTACAACCGGAGGGAAATACCTAGCAAGTGCATCATGGGAAAGGATTCAGAAAAACCGCGCGACTACTAGTGCATATGATTATATCTGTTATATGTGCACATGAAGACACACCACCGCATGCCAAAGTATTAACAAATGGCAATGGGAAAATATCACCACCCTCTTTCATTCATCAATGCCCCGCGCTTCCTAGTAAGGCACTCTCCTATGCTGTCTAATGCATTTGACCAACCGAGCAACGCAGCATACAGGTAGGAGCGGTCTGCAGGCCCTTCCACAGGTCCTGCTGTGCCTCTTAGCAGACACACAGATCTACACTTGCAATGCATGGTTACTCTTATCCAAGCCCTCTGGAAGTACCTAGCTGTGCTAGCAGACTCGATATCCCTAAACTGCATATACCACACACCGCATGCCGTAGTTTCCTAGAGTGCTCCACGCTCCCCAAACTTCCCTGAACTTTCTCCCATATCCATCGCTGGTTCCACAGAGAAGTGGTTTTTTGTATTTAAAAAGCAGCTCACTCGCACATATGGAAAAGGTGCCAGTGTTTATTATTAGCACTAGCAGTTTGCCAAGGACGTTTGGTGACTGCCTTTCTTGGCTATATACGTTACCTGCTTTCTGCAAGCAGCAATAATGTCTCCTCCTTCACATCTGTCTGGACAGGACAGTGCACTGCCAGCTCTCAAGGGGACTGGGCAACCCCTGGAAAAGGATTTTGCAGCACCCCAGTTGAAAATCACTGGCCTAGCAGTAATAGATAGGCATGCAGCGTGTCTGCTCCTTCGAAAGCCTTGTTCTCTAATTGTCCGTTTCCTACTCCAAATGATAAGCACCAGCTTGATTTAAGAAGCCTGGTTGGTCACGCTATTCTTCCCTACCCACCGGACACATCTACGCGTGCACTTTAATGAGCATTAGCCTATTTTAATGCATATTAAAGCATCACAAAACAACCATGCACTTTTGCTAATGCACATTAAAATAAGCTAATGCACCTTTTTCTAGTACCTCACAGTGGAGGTGCTCAATTTAATGCACATTAAGAAAAGCACATTAATGAACATGTAGATGCACCCATGCAAAGACTCTAAGGGAAGAGCTGCAGGTGGTGAACCAAGCTGGACCTGTAAAGTAAGAACCATTGATCCACAGGAAACTTGGGCTGATCTAACAGCAGAAAAATTGCAGAGGGAAAAGGTGCAAGACCTGACACCAGAGGGGGGTGAACTCAGACCAACCAGAGAAAAAAAGGTGCAGCTAGTTCTGCAACTATGACAGCCTCGTCTCCAATGCATTCCCTTAGTTAGGCCTGCAAAACCAGCAAGAGTCTCAGCTTTGTGCGTATAAAACAATATGTCAGTTCTGGAGGATGTCACTATGGAGGTCCACTGAAAATCTGGTCCTAAAAGTCATTTCTCAGAACTTATGAGGCCTTTTCCAAGTTTTGTAGGAGATTCCCAGCCAGAGAATCCATCTAACCGACCGTGCACGAACGGCAAGAGTTAGCTCAAGCCCAGCCCTGATGCAACACATCTAGGAGAGGATGGAAGGCTCCAAGGGATTCATTCAGCAGGTCGAGGCCAAATTTAGCCCATCACAAGGAGAAGGTAAAACTGGCCAGCCATGCTGCCCGTCAGGCCCTCGCAGACCCGGTCTGTGAGGACATCTGTAGCCCCACAGAAGCAGAGCTGTGTTCAGCTCGTGTGTCACGTAGCAGAATCCATCTGTTGAAGGAGAGGGGGTGTTACCATTCACAGACCGCAGGGAGATATTCTTGTATCACTCTGAATGGACACAGGAGGTATACAAAGCACGGTACCCCTCCCCGTGCCCACCCTGCTGCCATCTGGGGAAACCACAGGATGCCTCCAGTGAAGGAGAGAGCTCATTTTACACTTATCCTATATCCACAAATAGCCTGTGCATAGCACAGCAACTGATGTGACCCCTCTCATGGGCACCACGTGCAATCAAGAGGCACAAGTGCCATCAAGTTATCTTTGGAGGTCCCTTCTCCTGCCACCTGCTTCAAGACTATTCTGGACACACCCAAGCCAATTCCGGCCTCGGGGAGTGCCAGCCTGGACACCGATCTTCTGCAAGACATCAGAGGCCCGAGTTGTGATGTGCAATAGGCTTATCTGCAAGGAAAGGCCACAAATCTCACAATAAGCATAAGAGGCAGAGTCCATTTCCAACCCTGGCTGAGCCAGCAGAATGAATTACTCAGCCCCAGATATTCTCCAAAATGCTGGCAAATTGAGCACTTTTATTGCTACGGCACTCCCCGTGGAACAGCCATCACCCCGCTTGGCTTTACAGACGGGGAAACGAAGGGACAAAGAGATGAAGAAGCGACTCTCCAGAGGCTGTACAGTAAGTCAGTGGCAGTCCCTGGTATCCAAACATTCAACTAAATGGCACAATTTGTGTGGTCCTGCCCCCACAAGTGGAGAGCCGAGATGTTCTCATCTGCGGTGAGACTGATGCTCAAAGGGAAATGCTTCTTTGCTCGTCTTTGATGCACCCTGCTTCAGGAGGTTGAAAAGTCCCACTGCAACCCTATTTAAGGGTCTGAGGTGGTTCTGGCATTTCTTCTAGGAAGACTGAATAACTCCATGACCGCTTATGACTGGTCTAGCTATAGAAAACAAAAGCAGGGGTAAGTCACACCTCAGGATGTTGTGTGAGCAGCAGGGACTCGGAAAGAAACAGCTCTACCCCATACACTTTGCCCCTTTGCCTCAGTCGGTGAAAGTGGATTTTGTACTTCCTTCCAGAGTATCAGCTACTACCACTGCCCAGGAAAGGACAGGGGCCTCCAGGGATCGATATCTTGATTTTGTAAGCTAAGTCCTAACACCTCGCCAGACATGAGTAACCAGCAGTAAAAAAGGGATGCATTTCAGCTGGAAAGGCCTGTGACATTCACGGATGGGATGGGATTGCAACTCTGCATCTTGCTGCGTGCTGGGTACAAGGCAGCAATAGTCGGCCCCGGATATGTTCAGGGACCAGGTGCCTTGCACATCCTATTAGATCTTTTCTCTTGCTCATTTCAATGGATGCGGGCCTGGGGGACTGGCTGCAGAAAGGTAGCCCTATGCTGACATGGTGAGACGCAGAACGGGTTTCCAGGGTGGGGAATACATGCATGCGCTGGCAGCAAGGGCAGCTGTATATGGAGATGGGCCCTCCCACCCAGGGATCCACGGGCGGAGGTGGAGTGGGGCCAGACAGATTGGCTGATGGGGGCAGCAGGGCTTGGTCAGAAAAAGCGAAGAGATGCTAGAACTACTGTCTGGCCCTTCTGTCCCCAGGATTAATTAAAGCTTTTCTGATGTTTGCGAAAACCCCAGCTGCAGACTTGTCCCATCCCAGCCTGGACTTGAAGGTGTGAATTGACAGCCCTTCACCACTGGCCTGGGACACCATCCTCCAGCCTAGCAGGAGGCCTTCATGCAAGCTTTCCCCTCCTCCAGGTACACCCACTGCTGTCAGGCCCAGGCCTCTATGACCCTCGCTGCAGTTCACGGCCCCCTCAATTACTGTGGGAGGAGGCTTGGGCGTCACACTCAACTCCATCAGCCCTTCCCCATAAACCACTCGCTTTGGGCTAGAAGTCCTCCAACATCCCTCCAGTCTAAAATACAAAAGAAAAGTTCTAGGTCAAGGATGCACCTGGTTTGGGAGGGGATGCCTCTGTAAGCAGCTTAAATATCAAAGTGTTTTCTACTGTGTGGCACAAATAGCTTTACTTTTTTGAAACACAACAATGAACCACAGACACACACACACAGTTAGCTGTACTTGGCACACAAATACTATACAAGGAAGAGAAAGGAAGCCATGCACTGGGCTTGATCAGCCTTGCCAGCATATTTTCTTTTTTCCCCTTTTATGCTATTTTTTGTTGCACATCACCCAGCTTAGGTAAGTGAAACTACGCACTGCTCAGTTTTCCTTTTCGTGTCCGAGTCTCTTCCACTTGCACTGCAATAACGCTCCTGCTGTAACCTGGTTTCCAGCAGGACACAAACACATACAGCAAACCGGTTTTCAATTGAAACATACTAAGGAAAGTTTTCTGATAGGAATATTTCTAATCGCAGTTGATTTTATGAAACCTAAATTTTGGGGCTGACCTGGTTCATATGTGGTTATCAGCTAGGAAACCAAAAGAGAGAAGTGTGATGTGATGTATATGCGCAGCAAGTGGATTGGGGTGGGTGGGTGACTTGTATAGGACTCTGGCTCCCTGTGTGTGGGCCTTAATTGCCTGTGTGCTTCCAACAGCCCCCTGCAACGCAAGGGCCCCATGTGCAATTGCACATCTCCAATTAGCTTACCAGCTGTTTGTTGAAGTTCTGCACGCACTGTTCGAATTGCTCATCTTTTGTTTCATCTGCTTTCCCGAGCTTCTGGAGGACCTGCAGGAAAGCAACAAGACAGGGCTTAAACACAGTGCTCACATGACCACAACAAGAGGGTAAAGAGGCAGGTGCCAACCGTTGCAACATCTTTGCTCGCCAGACAGGAACAGAGAAGAGAAAATCATTTCTCTTGCTTTTATTGCTCAGCATTTCGTGGCTGGATATGAGACAAAAAACTGAGTCAGGATAAACTCACTCAGCTGGGAAAGCTGTACCAGAGAATGAGCGGCCTGGGATTCACCTTCCCATTTCAGGAAGGAGGGAGAATGAGTCAATAGAAACAGGCTTCCTCTTTATTAAGGCAGAGCTGGCGAAAGCAGGAGGACTGAGAATGCTAACCCCCCAGGTTGCAAAGTTACTGAGCCGGCCACGTGAGCAAACAGGCTTTTGCACTCACTTTGCACAAGTCTGAATGACTGTGCAAGGCGACATGGTGCACACAATCCAGTCCAGCCAACTTGGCTGGTCATCACCGGTAAGGAGGCTCCTATCCATACCTTTACGTGGTGCCCGAGGTACGAGGCGGCCTGCCAGGCCTTCACCACTCTACGAACACCCACCCACAATCATTACAGACACCAGCAACCGCCTGCTTTTTCCAGACACGAGCAATGCAGCTCTCCCCAGGCCCAGTGAGCCCTTATCTGGGCACTTGTCTTATCAAGGGTTTCCTTTTAACAGGCTCTCTGCACAGGCAAGGGTTGCCTTGGGGCTCTGAACAAGCCACTTCCCTCAGGAAAGGAAGGGAGACCCCGATAACGAGTGTGCCACACGCACAGATTTCAGCCGCGGGGAAGACCAGAACTGGTTTGGCACCGGTCGCAGGGCAGGTCAAAGGTCCTTGGCAGGGGTAAAGGGGGCATGAGTTCAGCCAGCCCCAGTCCATTAAACAGAATCTCTTTGTTAAGCAAAAATATGGTGTCTGCAAAAAGATCTGACACACGCGGCCCTCCAAAGACACTCATTCCCTGTGTGTACGACTCCACGGCAGGAGGCAGTGGCTGGCCACGGCCACAACACGCACATTGCCAAATGGCACCATCTGCTTCAGGATCAACCCACCAATCTGTCCCATCTGTACTAAAAACTGCTCAGGATGAGCAAGGCAGGAAGAAAAACCTCCCAGCCCAAACAGTGCTATTAAGCACAGAAAGCTATGCACCTTTGCTGGGGAAGGATCGGCCAGACCACCAGCAGTATCGCTTGGCCCTTCATCCATCCATATGCTTGACTTCTGGATCCCTTCTGAATCTCTTGGGCCAAGGGCTGGTACTCCTCAGCCTCCAGGAAAGCTGCTTCCAGGACCCAGCAAAAAAGCAGCAGCCTTAGATCTATCCAGCTGCCTGGGTTGCATACCTTGCTGCATCCCACCGCTAGCATGCCAGCCCAGCTCGAGTGCTAAGAGGCAGAAGCAGAGACTGCCTCTGCCTCTCCCCGACTCCAGGACAGGCCGAGGTTTCCCAGTCCATAAAGGGAACAACACCAGCATCCACACAGCCTCAAAAACAGGTGAGCAGGGAAAGACCCAACCTGTTGTGGGTAAGCTGACACGGATGGAGCAGGGAGCTGGAATAATTCCCCAAAGGATAATGCTGAGAAGGGGGGGGGGGGGCTGCTTTTTTTCCTGCAGCAGGGCTAAGACGACTTTGGTGCTGCACGAGCAAGGCAGACAAATCTCAGGAGGCATCTTTGTTTTTAGCACAACGTCTAATGCAACAATCCTTTGCGCGCTCTCTGGCTGGCCCATCTCCTGAACAGCCAGGTGGATTAAATTAGCCCTCTGCTGACACAGGCCGTTGCAACGGCCTGTAACCTTCGTCTCCCCAAAGTCACAGGCAGCAGGCAGGTACGGTAACTCGGACGGGAGAAGCACGCGACAAATCTGCTTAGTCATTTAGCACCTGGTCCGCCTTCTCCCCTCTTCAAGCTGCGCCAAGATTATCTAGGTCAGAGTCGTGGCATTTTGCTCTCCAGCTGCTCATAAACCTTCCCACGTGGGAATCTCAGGGGTGTTCATGCAAAACCAAGAGGGAGAAGAAAAAAAACCCCCCAAAAAACCCACACACATGACTCGACAACATCTTGCTTAATGACCATGGATTCAGCCAAGGACCTCCAAAAAGGTAGAGGCATGAGCTCGTATGGCTGGAGCCACGGGAGTCACTAGACTGGGGCGGGCAATTATTTTGGGCCGAGGGCCACTTACTGAGTTTTGGCAAGCTGTTGAGGGCCACGTTTCCCGGCACTGAGAAGCAGGAACAGCCTCATGGTCCCAGGCCAGAAGCCTCTGCTAGGCAAGGGTTTCTGGTTGGCGAGGCAGAGCTGGGCAGGCCTTGCTGCTGGGTCCTGCCACCAGTTTCCTCTGAGACCTACTGCCCCTGTGTCCTGCCATCTTTGACAGGCAGCTAGGAGCAAATAAATATTACTTTTCTAAGTTTTTAGGGGCCCCGCGGGCCAGACAGAATGGCCTGGCAGGCCGGATCTGGCCCCTGGGCCATATTTTGTCCACCCCTGCACGAGAACAAGAAGCCCCGACATGTTTTGCAGACTGGATGTGCAGGAGGACATGCAGTGAGCTTAAAACGGGCTACTGGAGGCAAACTGTGGTGCTGAAGATAGAGGGCCAAGGGTATGGTTCCCTTCCCTCCCTGCCCAGATCTAACAACCAAACCCAGCAGTCTAGTCCCCATCTCTGCATCCAGTTGTCCTGATGCTGTAGGACACGGCATCAGGTCCATGAGCTGATCTTCCCATTACGGCAGTCCTGAAAAAATGTGCCTGCAAAAAAGGATTTGCTCTAGGGATCTAACCCAGTCGCGGGGCAGCAGACAGCATGGCAAAACACTCCACATGCTCGTCTCGGGGAGAGATAAGGAGCAGCGATGGAGTGACCTTGCACCTGCACACCGGGCATCTCCAACATGCAATGCTTCTCATGCAGAAGCTGCTAATCGAATATCAAGTCCCTCTGGTTTCCCCAGACAGCAGCAAGTTCCTGCCCCCTCTTCCCACAGGCCCCTTTTCAGGTGCTGCTAGAAATCCTGCTCTCTTGATCGCTCCAGCTCATTCCCCAGGCTCTTCCTCACCAGTGCCTTGGTGCCAGGTCGAGAGCAGGAAGTGTTTGGCGCTGCCCAGCAGCGACCAAGGATCACCTCCTCTGCAAGGCATGACAGGCAGAGGAGAGGAATCTACTCAGGACAACCTAGAGAAGGAAATGGGGTCAAAAAAAGAGTGTTGAAGCTTAATTGCAAGAAGCCAAACCTGCAAGGGGGACCACAAAAAGGAAGGACGCCACAAACTGTTCTCTAGAGCCCCCCATATTCAGGGAAGAAATACTGCACACATGCCAACAAAACGAGGGGAGATGTCGGCCACGAGCAGAAGGGAGTGCCCTGAGCGTGAAAAGGACACCTCCCCAGGGTGGGGTAGTTTGTTTGACCTTCCCACACAAACACTCCCAATTAATCAGCTCCTTGCACATTGCCCAGCCCAAATTCAGAATGACTGTGGCCACAGTAAGCACATAGCTATGGGTGTAGGAAGCCAGCAACATGTGTCCAAGCCGGCCATTAATAACCAGTGAGTTCATAGCACGACTCCCCTCCCCAGGGGACACGGGTGCTGTCATAGGGCAGGCTATTCCTGGTCAGCCCCCAGTGCCGGCTCCCCACCCTCCCCTGAAGGACACCATTAATACCTTGGCTCACCGCAAAGCCTGATCAAGTCAGAATGGAAATTTCAGGCCCTTTATAGCTATTAAAGGAGCCGTTTTGCTAGTGCAGAAACCCAAAGAGTTAGGATCCCAACAGACCCAGAAGGGAGGCCGGATAGCCACGCACCCAAAAAAAACCCAAACCAGTCCAAACTTCAACCTCCACCAACAGCAGAAGGATTTCAGAAAAGGCCGAGACGATCGTGTCCGACTTGACCATTCTCAGATTTAAAAACAAAACCCGAAGGCGCTCTCCGTGCCTTAGTTTTCTCTGCTGTGGAACGGGAGTAACAGACTGCCTTCCCCTTCACAGGGCTCGACTGATGTTTTGGAAGCACATTCAGCCCCTCAGATGCAAGAGGAGAGAAAAGCAAAGGTTTCTTTAATTACATGAATGAACATGCCCACAGTGTGTCAGACCCCCCCCCGGTAGGATTATTTGCAGTAAAATCTGGTTTTATGCCTCTTTATCTCCTTTTCATGGGTCCAAGTCATCTTTTCTCAGGTAAGGGAAACAAATTTTACTTTCCAGCTGACAAACTCTTGAGTTCTGGGAGTCATTGAGCACCCACACGCTCCCCACTGCCCCATCAGCACCATAATACAAGCCTTGCATACCAAAACACTGCCCAGAAGGATACCTACATGATTTTTTTTTTTCCCCAAAGCCCCAGTGGCAACTACATAAGACATCATTTGGCTTAGAGGATCTCTATTTCTGGTGCTGATGTGTTAAAAGTAAAGTATTAAGATCCTGAGATGAATGCACTGGCAAGTCCTTTGCACATCTCCCTTTGTCAGTGACCTGGAAAAGATTAAAAACCCTGCTGCAGGCCTGTGATCTTTCCCAAAAAGATAGCACCCAGAATACAGGGTGCATTTGTACCAGATCAGGACACCGCTAGTACAGTTCTCAAAAAACAGCTTAAATCCCACATCTGATATCCAACTTGCACCACATCTAGATTGGTGCAAATTCCCATCCATGTTTTGAACGTGGGCTTGGGGAAAGAAACACACGCACCTAAACCCTCGTTTGACTTTCACAAGGAGAGGGACATCAAATGCTGCCCTTTGCACCTCAGAAAATCACCACCTCATTCCCCTGATCATCTGTTTAGAGAACAGCTCGATTTTCTGCATCTGAGCCCAACACAATGAAGTCTTTCAGTGAAACAATGGAACAAAGGCACATGGATGTCAGGGAGGGGGGGATTTCAATGCCTCCAATGGTGCATTTTCAGCCCAGAATTTAATCCCAGGGCTATGCAATCAGAGAGAGTCTTTCATCGGGAGGAGGAAAAGGCAATGTCGAGCTTGGCAGAGACAAAGCATTTCCTACAGCTTCCTACTTGTAGCCAAGGTCCATTCGAGTCCAGAGCAAAGCCCC